TGTTAATTCTTAATTATATAGTTTGAACTATAAGACAAAACAGGTACATAGTAATATAAAGATATCATTAATGTACGCCTCTGCCTACCTCTTCGGGGATAAAAGGCGTGCTCTTATGTTATGTTATGTAAAAAAATAGCTTCAAATTTAGACGAGTGGCTATCTTGCATATCTCGTAACGTCATTAAGCACATATATCTAGATACACAGTCCAAATCAAAAGGCTATATTATACAACATCTGATAGCCGTTATTGGGTCATGAAAGTCCCAAAAGTCCAATAACTGCTGTAACCAAGAGTAGTATTGCTCCTATTGGGTTGTTCCAGCTATTAAGGGTCGTTTTATGGTCAATGCTGGCATTCTATGTGTGGGAGTGTAAGTGTGGGAGAGCCATGCTTCGGCACGAATGGGCCGGCTCGACCGGAGTGATACCACGGCCTCACCGAAAACTGATGTGAAGCAACGCTTGCGTTGTGTTTCGTCATGTGAGTGAGGTTACCGGAGGCCCAATTACCCTTTCCCCAATCTTCCCAATTTCTGAATCCCCAACGATCCTCAAACTCCTAATCCCCAAAAGGCCAATAACGCACTTGTAACGCCTCTGGTGTTCTAGGTGTCCATGGGCGACGCCAATTGCATACCATCAGGTGATCCGTCTGCTCGTTAACCGGCTTATGCCATAAAAATAAAATTCAGTCCCGAACCCTGTATAGTATTATAAATACATAAGTACGACACCCTGTCTTTTTGTGTATTAAGTTTATGACCTGGATTCTAACGTGTTTAATATTTTTGTTAAACGTCAATTTTTACAAGATAATAAAAATTCGTATTACCGTAGCTTTCTTAGATAAGCAATAGCCTAGTGCCTGTCTCACTCCTTTTTTATAGTATACGTTTGGTCACTATCTCGCCTGGAGATGAGAGATGACGCTGCCCACGATGGAGCACGTCTGCCCATAAGCAACCTATTCACTCGATTCTTGAAGACACCCAGGTTTTACCCATCAGGAAATACAGACTCTGGCAAAGAATTGTACTCCTTTGCAGTACGTATATTAAACTGTCAAACACCAAGCAGTCACCGGTGACCGCAACCTATTGTTCTATAATTGTGTCTACAAAACCGGTACTCGACGAGTTAAAGTTTGATACGAAGTGCTTCGTCCGTGTGAGTGGAACCTCCACATGAATCGGTGACGCTTCGTGCATTGTCGTGAGATCCTTAACACGTTAACCGCCACGTACGTCACCGGTGACTACGTTAGCGGAGGATTTGCCTTCAGCAGTTTTCTGTCGGCAGTCAAAGGCTTAAATTCAATTCGTCCTAGTCCTAGTTTCCTTAGTTCTTAAATGTTCACTCGACTCAAATTGAAGTGTAATAATTAATACAGAAAACGAACATCACGATGCGAATAGTGCCTAACGTTTAGTGTATAACAGGCGTATTTCCATAAAAAAAATTATATTTATTTTTTTGTTTTTATTTATTTATGCATCGAAAATACTTTTTATCACAAGAAATACAATAGATTTAAGTGCATATACACATAATAGACTTGGGCTCGCTGCCATCGCAGCAGTAAGTCCCCTCTTTGAGGAGTGGCTTGAGAGACGCTACGGCGTCCTCACCTACCGCCTGACGCAGGTCCTCACCGGACATGGGAGTTTCGGGAGGTACCTGTGTCTGATGGGGCGGGAGGAAACGTCCGGGTGTCATCACTGCGAGGACCGCCCTGAGGACACGGTGGAACACACTGTCGCGGAATGCCCTGCGTGGGCTGAGCACCGCCGTGTCCTCAGGGAAGTGATCGGCGATGGCGACCTCTCGCGTCCGGGCCTAGTGCAGGCCATGATGCGGAGCGAGGGGGACTGGGATGCCGTCTCCTCCTTTTGCGAAGCAGTCATGCTAGCTAAGGAGGAGGCGGGACGCGTGAGGCAGCGAAGCGCTGCCTCCTCGCAACCCAGCCATCGCGAAGGACACACCGGGCGTCGGGGATCGCGGGACGATCTCCGGCCACCGTAAGCGCGGGCCTGCGGACGGCGAGCATGGGTGGCTCCCCGTCCGACCAGAAACAGACCCGAGCGTACGGCGCGTCGCGTTCCG